CTGCTGCTGGTCCTATAGTCAGGTTAGACATCTTTTTGTTCACATCGGTCATATAGCACCTATACGTTTTAAATATAGAATATGGGATATGGCTGCTGGTGGACGGCAACTTATGTCAATACAACAGCACCATAAAACAGTTACTTCACTTTGCTTGGCTAAGAATGGCGATGTCCTACTATCTGGTGGAATCGATCGACGTGTCAACGCCATCCGACTAATAGATTTTGCAATGGTGATTCTATACTTCAGCTTTTTTTTCATTTGGTTTCGCTAAAAGCGGCCGAGGCGCAAAATGGTTGAGCAATCATCCCTTAATTTAGCTCCACTCTATGTCGATGGCAGCACCTGTATTGAGTTTAGCAATGTCGCCAGATGACCATATTATGGCTGTTGGCATAGGTCAGCTTCTTGCCATACATCGACGAGAACCAGAACCGAAGTTGAGTAAAGATTTGTATTTTTTGGTATGAGTCAACAACATTAAAAGATTTTTTTTTGTCTTCATATGTCTACTAAAACAATAAACAACTTTCCACCGATCTCCCCAACTTGTTTTCTTAACAATGTTTACATAATTTCCGATCTTTAAGCAGTTTTGAAAAAATCTGCTTCAGGCTATGGTGAGCGCTCAAGTTGCGGATAGCCGCACAATGGTCCGCACTGCCGCACCCAAAGTGCGCGTACAAGAAGCCGGAAAACCTAGAGAAACTGTTGAGATTAGTGCGAAATCCGCTGATCAGGTACATATCGCTTCGCTCGCTCCTCACTCTTTGGATATAGTAAACCTTAGCTTCGTATATTCAGCATCGCTTATCGAAAATTGACACACTCTTGAAAGGATATCAACATGCTGCTGCTATTCGAAAAATGTTTCATTGTAAGATTGTTAGGGCTACGTGGTTCTAAGATTCCTCGGATTATTTAACCTTTTTTCATTCCAGCATATTATTTCCACTCTAAGAAGGAAGAAGTTATTGCATGGTTGCGGGTGATTATTCACAGGGGAGCAATTCGTCGTGCGATTTCAGGACAGGATGACACTGTGCTTGTGAATATGCTCA